AGGTGCTGTGTTGCCGATTTGGATAACTGTTTTACGATCACTGCACAACATTCTCTTTGGGATGAAGATTGGCTACATGTTTGCCAGTCAGTCAGTCAGTCAGTCAAATGTTTGCTTACACTATTTAAAAAGGCCCCATTTGGTGGCAGCTGTCGCTACGGCCATACCACTCTGAAAAAGCCTGATCTCGTCTGACCTCGGAAGCAAAGCCAAGTTGGGCCTAGTTAGAACTTGGATGGGAGACTGAATGGAAATACTAGGTGTTGTAAGCTTTTGATTTGGATAACTGTTTTCATGATCACTGCACAACATTCTCTTTGGGATGAAGATTGGCTACAGGTTTGCCAGTAAGTCAGTCAAATGTTTGCTTACACTATTTAAAAAGGCCCCATTTGGTGGCAGCTGTCGCTACAGCCATACCACATTCTGAAAAAGCCCGATCTTGTCTGACCTCGGAAGCAAAGCCAAGTTGGGCCTAGTTAGTACTTTGGTTGGGAGACTGAATGGGAATACTAGGTGCTGTAAGCTATTGATTTGGATAACTGTTTTCATGATCACTGCACAACATTCTCTTTTGGGATGAAGTGACTAGCAAGTCAGTCGGTCGGTCAGTCGGTCGGTCCGTCCGTCCACAAGTCAGTCAGTCAGATGTTTGCTTACACCATTTAAACAGGCCCCATTTGGTAGAAGCTGTCGCTACGGCCATTCCACTCTGAAAAGCCCGATCTCGTCTGACTCCGGAAGCAAAGCCAAATTTGGCCTAGTGGTACTGGATGGGAGACTGAATGGGAATACTAGGTGCTGTAAGCTTCTGATTTGGATAACTGTTTTCATGATCACTGCACAACATTCTCTTTGGGATGAAGATTGGCTACAGGTCAGTCAGTCAGTCAGTCACAATCAGTCAGTCAGTCAAATGTTTGCTTACACACATTTAAACAGGCCCCATTTGGGGAGCGTTGCTACACGCATACCACTTGAAAATCCCGACTCGTCTGACCTCGTAGCAAAGCCAAGTTGGGCCTAGTTAGTACTTGGATGGGGAGACTGAATGGGAATACGGCTGAAAAGCTTACATTTGGATAACCTTTCATGATCACTGCACAACATTCTCTTTTGGGATGAAGATTGGCTACAGGTTTGCCAGTAAGTCAGTCAAATGTTTGCTTACACCTATTTAAAAAAGGGCCGCATTTGGTGGCAGCTGTCGTCACGGCCATACCACTCTGAAAAAGCCCATCTCGTCTGCCCTCGGAAGCCAAAGCAAGTTGGGTGTAGTTAGTACTTGGATGGGGAGACTGAATGGGAATACTAGGTGCTGTAAGCTTGATTTGGATAACTGTTTTCATGATCACTGCACAACATTCTCTTTGGATGAAGATTACAGGTCTGTCGAGATGTTTGTCACCATTTAAAACAGGCCCCATTTGGTGGAAGCTGTCGCCACGCTTGGCGCCATACCACCTGAAAAAGCCCGATCTCCGCCTGGACTTCCCGAAGCCGCAGTTAAGCCCTAGTTAGTACTTGGTTGGGAGACTGAATGGGAATACTAGGTGCTGTACGGTATTGGATTTGGATAACTGTTTTCTGATCACTGCACAACATTCTCTTTTGGGATGAAGATTGGCTACAGGTCAGTCGGTCGGTCAGTCGGTCGGTCCGTCGGTCCGCCCGCCCGGTCCATACATCAGTCAGCGTCAGTCAAATGTTTGCTTACACACTATTTAAAAGGCCCCATTTTGTTGCAGCTGTCGCCACGGCCATACCACTCTGAAAAGCGCCGATCTCGTTTGACCTCGGAAGCACAGCCAAGTTGGGCCTAGTTAGTACTTGTATGGGAGACTGAATGGGAATACTAGGTGGTGTAAGCTTTTGATTGATAACTGTTTTCATGATCACTGCACAACAATCTCTTTTGGGATGAGAGATTGGCTACAGGTCAGGTCAGTCACAGTCAGTCAGGTGTTGCTTACACCATTTAAACAGGCCCCATTTGTCGGCAGGCCGCCACGCCATACCTCTCCGAAAAAGCCCGATCTCGTCTGACCTCGAAGCAAAGCCAAGTTGGGCCTAGTTAGTACTTGGATGGGAGACTGAATGGGAATACTCAGGTGCTGTAAGCTATTGATTTGGATAACTGTTTTCATGATCACTGCACAACATTCTCTTTTGGGATGAAGATTGGCTACAGGTCAGTCGGTCGGTCAGTCGGTCGGTCAGTCGGTCCATCGCAACCATCCGTCTGTCAGTCAGTCAGATGTTTGCTTACACCATTTAAACAGGCCCCATTTGGTGGAAGCTGTCGCTACGGCCATACCACTCTGAAAAAGCCCTCGATCTGCCTGACCCTCGGAAGCAAAGCCGGTTGAGCCTAGTTTATATTACTGGTTGGGAGACTGAATGGGAATACTAGGTGCTGTAAGCTATTGATTTGGTACCTGTTTTCACTTCACATACTCTTTGGGATAAAGATTGGCTACAGGTTTGCCAGTAAGTCAGTCAAATGTTTGCTTACACTTATTTAAAAAGGCCCCATTTGGTGGCAGCTGTCTCTACGGCCATACCACTCTGAAAAAGCCCGATCTCGTCTGGCCAGGGAAGTAAAGCCAAGTTGGCCCTAGTTAAGTACTTCTGGATGGGAGACTGAATGGGAATACTAGATGCTGCAAGCTTTGATTTGGATAACTGTTTTCATGATCACTGCACAACATTCTCTTTTGGGATGAAGATTGGCTACAGGTTTGCCAGTAAGTCAGTCAAATGTTTGCTTACACTATTTAAAAAGGCCCCATTTGGTGGCAGCTGTCGCTTACGGCCATACCACTCTGAAAAAGCC